CTAATCTCCTCCTCCACGCTAATGAGCCTTCCCGATAGCTCCCCTAGTCGCTCCTCCAAGCTACAGACTCTGCATACCTGGCATACCTCTCGTTGACTAGTCCCACCTACCCAATCCCCGCAACGAACGCACCTACACATCCTAGGCATCTTACTTAATGTTATTGATCCCTATTGACACTCCTACTGCTTTAGACTTATACTTTGCAGTACTTCACACTAGTTGTAACCCGGTAAGACTGTACTGTCCTAGTCCTTGTAGTAAAAGGAATACTACGAGTAATGAGCTAATACTTAAAGTAATTAAGCTGATTGATACTGATCTAATGTGAAGTTGGAGGTAGCTATCAGAAAAACTTATGAATACTGCTACAAAGTAGCCAGGTAACAACTAACTCACGACTTAGCTGACAGAACCTCGAGAGTATCCTCCAACACGTCCTCACGCTACGAACGCTCGACCAAGACTGAACATCACATATAATGTGCCCTCTCAGGGTAGTGCATTAGAATGGTCAGAATAGCCTCAATTTCCCTGCAGAATAGCCTCAATTTCCCTGTCATTTTTCACTTATTTCATGTCTTGTTGCTTGATAAGACCTGACATCTTGGTCTTGATCTTGTGCTCCCAAACCATATCATGAGAAAATCAATGACAAAACCACACAAACTGTAATAACCAAGGCACCCACACAAGAGTGGCTATTCTGACCTATCCAGTGCAAAGGATAATGTTGAAGACTAAAACTCTGTGACCATGCAGTCTTCACTATAAAAGTGAAACAAAAACCAATTTCACATGGCATGTAATTTTTTCAATTTATGTAGGTATTTAGACCAATACACAATTCTGCTGTCCCTTGGAGAAGAACATGGGAGGCATTGTAACCAAGTTTTGTAGCTGTGAAATACTCAGTCAAGATAAAAGTTTTTGTTAAATACATAACTTCTTTCACAATTTTAATATATTAACCAACCTCATCATTCTCCTATACAGTATAATGTGTTTGGACTATGACAAGTGAAGAGGTGATAAACAGGGTTCTACATTTTTGGAGCAGATGCTCATGCCATTCATGAAGACAGAAGCAAGAGGGGAGACAGCCATGTTACTTTCCTTTATGAGTACTTCAAATGAATACAGTACATACGTCTCCAAATGATTTTCCTGGAAGCATCTATGAACTACCAAAGAGCTAAAAAAAAAAGGGATATCACCTGAAGGCCAAGGACAGTTGAAGAGAGGTGAATTTGGTATTTCCTTGAAGGGACAGAGATGTCAGATGAGCAAGTTGAGAGGTGATGACCTGAAGGACAGTGCCATCTATCTTGTGACATCCTCCAATCTTGAGCGATTTGAGGTTCGGGCACCGCTTCACAAGTAGCTTCACCCCTTCCCCTTCTAATCTCTGACAATTGGTCACATCCAAAACTTCCAGCTGGTCATGAGCCTGATAGAAGCAATGACCTGAAAAGGATGAAATATTATTGTCAAAAAATGTATGGAAATACTCTTCATATCATCCAAGTTGGAGTATTATGAGAATATTTTACAGGTGAATCTGTAGATCCTTTTCTCACTAGCTCACAATGGTCTAAGACCAACACCAACATGCAAGAATGCACCTCCAACAAATCAATGCCAGACCTTTCAGTCTATGATTGTCTGTGCAGGAGAAGACCCTGAGGTGATGGAGATCATGCAACATATACCAGAACCCCTTCTCTCCCACATCAGCACAAGACCCAAGATGCAATTCCGTGATGAGACGACAGGCTCGTGTCAGCTCCTTCAGACCGGTCACTGTCAAGGGAGTCCGTTGCAGGTTTGCATGCCTCAGCTTGGGGCAGTAGTGTCCTACAGAGGAGCAAATTGATAGGGAACAAAGACACAGGCACTGCAACCTTTTCAGAGACACTTACCGATGATTTTAGTGAAAGACGCATTGAGAAGGTGAGAGGCAGTGGAGAGGTCCAAGCTCTTGAGATTGGGACAGTTGGAGAGAAGGCCAGATAAACGTCTGTTTGTCAAGCCATCCCCTGCAAACAGGTTGAACACTCCCTCTAGGGTCAGATGATATTTTCCCTGCCATGCCAGGCGACTTCCTTCATACCATTTCACACAGACTGGAATGGTAACACAAGAAAAGAAAGGAGATGTCATATTCAGAACCAAAACTTCAAAGAAAGAGAAATGCTTTTTTTTTTAAAACCTTTTAGAAGCTTTCAACTTTCACCTTTTCCGACTTTGGCAAGATTTCTGAGGTCCAAGTAGGAGAATATCCTGGCCAAGACTTCCTTTGGTAAATCATTTATTGATAAAGCATTGGACCAGCAAGGAGGACTGTTTGTGGTAGAGGAACAAAGCAGTGGTGATGACACCAGTTCAGTATTTACTTTGGTTTCCCTCTTTTTCACATTTTGTACAATCTTGGACTTTGGTACTGCTGGCATGATTCGTAGCTCTCTCCCCTTTATCTTCAGTCTCAGTTTATCATTTCCAAGCAACCTAAAGCAGAGTAGAACAAACAAAGTGGGGGTAAAAATTTAGTGAAATATTGAAGCCAGCTATACCTAAACAACTGCTTCTGATATAACATAGACCTACCTCTGCATATCAGACTGCTGTTTGAAGATCACAAAACCAAATCCCTTTGGTTGCCTGCTTCGAGGATCCCGGACAATGAAACAGTCTTTCAATTGCCCATGGGGTGAAAAGAGAGCCTCCAAATCCCTCTTGGTTGCCTGATAGCCAGAGCATACATGTTCAGGTCTTATACTATAGCCAATTTTAATTTCTCTTAAAATCAACCACAGAGATATGAATTTAACTTTGACTAACTTTTATCTTTAAAAATAAAAATATTAGATTTCATGTTGAATGGCGCTCCATATGGCTCCAGGGCAAAATATAGACTTATGAAAGCTTCACTCCAAAATGGTCAATGGCAAAGTGCAAATAAATTATGTAAGCGATGAAGCAAATGTTATTGCCTTAAGGCTTGCTTATTGCATCAGTTCCTCCCTGTCTCCCTCCTTTCCCACCTAAAAGAACAACATTCTTCTCTCATATATTTTAGCATAGTTGACCTCATGTAAATTCTATACATTGCATATTGTGCTTCCTTCTCCCTATGCCACATATTCTGTGGCTTCTCTTGAGGGCATCAAGGAGCATGTTACTCAAGGTGACTGAAGACTTACAGCTGGAATATGCAACCTGTGAATATGCAATTCATGTTCGACTGGTCAATCTTATTTTCAGATATTTTAAAGTCTGCTGGGTCAATTTCAGTGATTTCACTACACGCTTTTGTCCATCAAAGCCTGGTTTAAACCAAGCTGGAATTTTAATGATGGGATAAATATCAAAGTTACGAGACACAGTAATATGAATGTGTGCCTATGGATCACCTACCGAGGGTGGTAACCCACCAACGAAAATCTTGCTGGGTTCAGCTTCTTTATCCTCATCATGGGTGACAACTTCCTGGGCGAGAGTTGCTTCCTCTTGTCTTTCTTGCCCTTCCTCCACCATCTCCTCATGAAAATTCTCCTCTGAAAAAATCATACATAGGTTGTATAGGGTCACCTTTATCCTATCATAAAACTGGGTCTTCTTAAAGCTTCCAGGCCGAACGTCATCAAAACCTAGCTTCATTTACAAAGTTAGGCCAAAACTGAATTCAACCAAAAATAATACGGGCCAAGACCGTAACAAAAACGTAAGCGGAATGCAGATAAAACGCTCACTCTCATGGATGCTTTTAGATCGGGTAAGCTGAAAAGCGCCAGAAGAGCGCGAGGATGAAGAGCGCGTCTCCCTGATGGTGAAGGAATGACGCCTCGAGGGGAAGGAGAGGTTGAAGGCTGGTCTGAAAAGCCAGCCGGAACCGAGGCCGACTCCTCTTTCGCCTTTTCCCTCTTCTTCTTCGATCACAGTCGCAATACTGTTCAAGCTGATGTCTCGGAAACTCAAAGCCCGGATCCGCTTCATGTCATCATTTTAGTTAATTGCTGGAAATGATCCCATGGTGTATATAATCCACTCGGAAATCCACGATACAGAAGCCACATGTACTCCACGGAAGCGGACATGTTAAATCACGGTTGCCAGTGTAAGTACAATTGTTTACTCGCTGGAAGAGATTCTCACACTTCGATAAAAATCGTTAGTACTACAAATTTAAAGAACATTGAAACATTAATAAGCAGGGCATATTATCTCAGTTAATTCCTTACATAAAAAGAACAACCATGGCATGACTGATAAGAAAGTCACTTCTGCAAAGTTTTAGGAACCTCCTGAGTTTCGTCCGCAGATAGGACTTCTTGCCCTTCCTAAGTCGGCGATCCGAAAGGCGCACAACTTGTCATCGATCATTCAGAAATTCTTGGCAGCCATTCACACGTTCACTCCACAACCATCATGGGTTATAATAAGATGTTCTGACACTCCGCAACTTGAAGAGCAGGCAGCCACGTAAAACGTAGTAGGTTTAACGGGAAATTTTGATGGAATTGAAGGAATTTATGAGGGCGACAGCCTAGAATACCCAGTGCAACTTCCATATGATCGATTTTCGTGAAATTTGACACCAGGTCTTGTGCTTCTAGCCAACAAAGATTCAAATGATTGGCATGTCATGATGCACCCTGGGAAGAAAAATTGCCAGAAGAGAAATAATTTTTTTTTTTTGGATCCATCTGTTTCGTTCTTTCTGGAGCAATCGATTCGCCATTTCCAGATGGCGTGCACCAGATCCATTAATCCTTAGACTCGTATCGTGTCATAACGGGCGCCTATGGTAATGAATTATCTCATGAAATTGATTCCCGTAAGGACCCACGATGCGATCGGACTCGGTTAATCTACGAGGCGCACGTCACCCTCGTAAAATTCCCAGACGAAGCAGGATGGAACTCGCGACTCCGCGCACTCACCCTCGAACGAGTCCAGTCCTCGCTTCGTCCCGTCGCGTCGAAGCAGGAGCCGAAAACTGACGAACGCCCTTCACCAAGGGTTCCCCCGTGCGAGACATCTGGCGCGTCCCTAGTGAAGCTGTCTCAGTCGGCTCAAGCCGGTTCGATAGCGAGGAGATTCTGGAATGTGCTTAACCCTTAAGCGTCGGTGGACGCATTTACACGTCAGCCTATGTATGTGCGGTTGACGTATATTTACGCGAATTTGATTAAAACCGTCGCGTATAAGGGGTTTCTCCGAAATTTTATCTGGAGGTTTCTGGCACCTCTTGCATTTGTATATGCTATTAATTCCAATAACTATTTTGCAAATCCGGGGGGGGGGGGGTCGATTTAGCCGCCTCCTGGGATGGTTAAGCGCCACCTCATCCGATGCCAAAGGGTTAAACCTGGCGTTAGTTCGGTGGGGTCTCACACATTCCAGACCTCCCATTTTTGAACATGAATAAAAATTGTGATTACGTTACCAGAGATGATAAAATGTTCATTTTCTGCAACTATTAAAATGAGTAAAATATTTCCTTGTAATACAATAATGATATAAAGACAAATACACAGATATAGTTTTGAAAATTAGATCCAATATAATCCCTAATTGTGATAAAGGTTCATCATCAATGCTATGATTTACCACACCATTAAAGTCAGCCATCTCATAGTTGCCTCATGGGTTGACAGTGGGTGGGTATTAAGTTGTTGCTATGGAACCACAGACTTCCTGGGAAAAACTCTTGCCCCCAAGAGAGAATCATAAATCCATCAAGATTTAGTCCAGTTACATCATTATTAAAATTGACTCTCCAATCCTACCATTCAAAAGGATTGTAAGCATACATCCACACATCAATTCTGATAAATGCCATCTGTTTCACCTCTTCCAAGGTGGAAATTTCCTCCACCAAACAATGGAATCTGAGCTCTTCAGGGTGCATACCAGGAAACCAGGACTGTCGTCTTCAGGTCCAAGTTTAACATGGAATATTTCTCATTCAGGGTAGTTTTGTGGTGTAGATGGATCAGTTTCATAGCAAGATTTTAACAATTCCCTACCTACAGGGATGAATTATGCTAGACTGAGGGTGGGCCATAAATATTCTTACTACACATTATTCAGCTTTGCATATGAAAGAAAAACAAAAAAAGATGTGGTATGGACAGATAAGCATCACTTTTGTGGACAATCCTGGGTGCTTCAACTGGACTCTCCCAAGTGACATGATTCAAGTGTATGAACATGTAGAACAGGATGTCTTTCAAAAGTATGCAAAAGAACTGAGTAGGCCATTTAGCCAAGATCAGCTAACAAATGGTCTCCATACAGCCTAAACTGCAACCCAATGCATTTCTAGATGGTAAGTGTTAAAGGCACACTCCCATGTCCTGTGACCTATCGAGATGGTCGCTCAAGCTGAATGAAATCCCACAATATGCCATCCAATGCAATTGACAAGTGGATATTTCATGGGAAGCAAGTACAGGTAATACAGGACTTTGATTCATGAAGGAGTATTTATGGTAGATCCTGTAATGAGTTTTAGCCTGCATTTAAATTGTTACTGATGTGTGAAGATTAAGCTTATGTTATGACATAAGCTTACATTCACAACCAAAGGAATTATTTTTGCTTTGAATAGCTAATGCTGTAGTAAGTCTTGGTCTCTTATGTTTATTGATGACTGGTTGTTCTTCCTCAGCACTGGGAATTTACCAATGTATTAAGCTCCTCAAAACAGCATCTAGCCTCAAGTTAAACCATCTCTTGGAGAACATGAATATTTGTTTACCTGATATAGCATATGGGAAATAATCAAGACAGAGGCTTGAAGGAAAAAAACACTGACTCATAAGGACCAGAGAATAAACTTCATTCATCAGACAGCTCTCAAATCAAAACATCCATACAGTGCATCAGTCACTCAAAACATAAAAGAAACATGGACTTAGCCAAAGAGATCTTCCCGATCAGCACCAACTCCTTCGCCTTCCTCGATGGCAGCAAACTGTAAGAAGTGTGAGGGACGATGGACCTCGTGATAGAACTCCTTGGGATTGGCCAGCATCAACTCGTACTTCATCCCGGGATCGTGCCTAACACCTGTGAATGACAGGAAAGAGATGTGCATATAAGTTGTGACACCCAGAGGCTTCATGATAGCCAATATTTAAAGGAGAAGACAGACCCATGAAGTTGTAATTCCATGATCCCTGAGCAGGGACCATGAAGAAGCCAAGGAATCGATCTGACAGAAGCATTTGCACTCTCTCATAATGACTGGGAAGGTACCCCTTTGGATTGTTTCCTCGATCTGTGTTCTGCCTCCCCCACTCAAACCCACTGGAGAAGACATCAAAAACAAATAAAAACAATGCCCACCACAATGAGAAAAGATAGAGCATAAGGAGACCTTGGAGTGAGTTTGTAGGCTGTGAGAGAGACAGAGCCAGGAGTGAAACTGCATGTGATCACAATTGTCTTCTCTCCATCCCATGATGAATGGTCTGCCATGACTCTTGCATGGGTAGTGATATCCTAAAAAATTAGAAACAGTATAACCCTCCATGGTTTACTGCTCTGAATACATTAACATAGGTTTACAGATATCAAGTATAGAGGAGAGAGAAGATGAACAGACCTGTGGTGACAGCTGAGGGAGCTCATTGGGTTGAGTGTGAATCCACCCCAAAGGTTCCATCTCCTTCAAAAGCTCATGTTGAGGCAGCATTTGAGGGAGGTGCACTGTCTGGTGGGTGCCCCACTGTGGAGGCAGTACCACACACCGTACCTCTTTTACCTGCGGGTTGTCTGCCGGGCTCACTCCAAACAGGTATCCAGATATCTACCAATGGCATGCATTGCATTATTGAAGTCACTCCATCTTTTAAATGTCACACATGAAGAAGGCAATAAATTGACCATAAATCAGGTGTAAGAAAAAACTTTAATTTTCATACGACTATCAGACAACCATAACGATGGTACATTTCATCTTACCTACAGGCTCACACTTTCAGCTTCCCCAAAGTATTGGGAAATTTATTTTTTCTGTTTCCTTTGCTTTGGCAATACCCCAACAACAGCCGAAGCAACATCAAATAAATTACTGATCAATTTCTGCAAGTAGTGCAGGTGTTGCATAGTAGCAGAGTTTAGAAAGGGGCTCTGTGTGTGATTCAGCGTACCAGACCATCCATTAGTTAAAAAACAAGGATGAATGGCATAGAAAAACCACACTGCAGAATAGTCTGCCACAAAACTTACGCCACTGTGGCCACAACTGGCACTACAGTGGAGCTGGGATGTGGCTGCAGAGGAATAATGAAAATGAAACACATCTCACCTGGGCACGGAGGTCAGAGATGATGATAAACTTCTTAAGGACATTCTTAGGCAGGATATATGTGTATCCTGCCTCCTTGATGTCATCTGACGACACATAGATGTGGTTTGTACGAAGGTGGAGGTTGGTGGCCGAGATGGCTCTCACACGCCATTCAGTCTTTGAACTGAATGTCTGAGATTCATAGTTGGAGGTAGTGGTTGTGATGATCTCATCTCCATGTTTATTGACAGTGCGAGTGGTTGTGGCAGTCAGCTGACTCTGCTCCTTGGCCTGCTTCTCAATCTCTGCAATCTGCTGCCTCTGCTGAGAGGGAGCACTGATCTCCATGCCTAAGATGATGTCTCGGATCTCTGACTGAGTCAGTGATGCTACATTCACACTATCATAAAAAAAGTCAAGTAAGACAACATGCATGCATCAATGCACTGTAGCAATAAGGTGAGAAAGAGTGAACATACTTGTTCTTTTTGCCATAGTCAGCAAGGATGAGGTCCTTAAGTTGGACTTCAACTTTGACCCATTCTTCATCAGAGAGAGAGGGCCAAATGTGATGTGGTTCTGTAATAGTTGTCTTGTCTGGTTTCAGTATCACCTTTGTTCGATCCGTGTTCACATGCATAGCACGCAAAATGAGGATCATTCGAGAGAAGGCCTAAAACAAAAGACAACAGTCAGATGCCAGTAATGCCTTCTCAATTTTAGAAAAAAAAGTTAAGAACAGACCGTATATGATGAGATGGTCTTCAGCCAGTCATCATATAGATTGAAAAGCACCATCTGAGGCTCAGTGGCCTTGAGGATAAGGTCTCCTATCTTCTCAACCTTCAAACAAGCTTGGAATGGAAGCTGGAGCTCTGATCCCTTGATCACAATGTTAGGAAAGTCAAGAAGATGGACTTCAAGGGGATCCAACATTCCCTTTCGAGTCACAATGATCTGCTTTGGCTGCTCCTCAACTGGGAGGGATCGGATGAGAGCAGCCACTTCCTCAGCTGTTTTCCACTTTGCCAACTGTCCCAAACGCTTTTGACCTGCCCACACAGATGTGTGGATGATCTTGAGGAACAACTGTCCAGTTCGGGGGTTGAAGATGAAGATGGCACCATTGATAGGCTTTGTTGTCAAGTTCCCTTCAAAGGTCTTGTGGATTGTCACACGATACACATTTGTGTCATCAACAAACCTGAACAAATTGGACCACACAAAAAGACCAACATAAAATGCAATTTTGAAGGAATAAAAGAGAGTAGAGTATCAATTAGGAGAGAACAATGTCACAAACCAGATAATCTGATTGGAGAAGAGTTCTCCATAATTCTGGGATGAGAGGTAAGGTTCTGTAGGTTCTGATGAATAGAGTTGGAGACCCTTTCGAATTCGTTCTCTCAACACATACAGGGCTGGATTAGCTTTCATGATCTTTGCCATGGCCTGCTGGATCAATGGTTTGCTCCCAGGGAACCAGTTCCCATATGCACTGCAAGATACACGAAGTACCATAGTTTTCAGTCATCCAAATGCCTTGATAAAATCAACCCTGGCAGAAAAGTTGAAGAGCAGATTGCAGGCCTCACCTATGAAGATTGTAGGCCAAGTCAATTGCGATGAGCACACCGGTTGGAGATGGATAGATGGACATGTTGTCTGTGGTATAGTCCAAAAACTTGGCCCTAGCATATCGCTCCACATCATGGGAATCATAATCTCCCCAACGCAACTGCACATCGATCCAATACTTCTGAGTTGTAGTGTTGTCCATTGTGTCCCTTTGGAGAGAAGTATTCATATAAGACTCAACAACCAAGAGCATGAGACATGATAGAAGGTAATTGTCTCCTGGCAGTTGATCAACTCTGTGTTAGATATCCCCTGGAGGATATCTGACAATGAACCTGCACAAATACCTCCTCCTTTCCTCATTCACTTACTGTAGCAGTGGTCTGTGTTGCACAGAAGCACCAAAGGCATTTGTGAACCTGGTAGGTCACATGAGGCCGTTATTCATGTTGAATATAAACCTGTTGTCTTAAAATATCTAACCTGTCATTCCCTTTAAATAACTGCATATATCTGATCAGTAAATGGCAAAAATGCATTTTAACAAAGATAACCAATCCTTCAGACCACTGAAGACTTTTTTTTCTCTCAATTCACTGTATTCCCATCTACTAGTGTTGGTTCACATTCACATTAAGGAAGTACTGATACTGATGCCATGTATCCAATGTAGGCTGACACATGTGTTATCAAGAAGTTGAATTACATCAAGCTACCCTCTGGCACTTCCAAAATCTGAGCTTGAATCATCAACTGGCTTGAGCAAGGATGGTGGCTTCATTTAGTTCTTTTCCATTTCACAACACAAAAAGGTATCAGCTTCAGTCACACCTGATCAGCAAAACTTTTGCTGATCACAATTGTTTGTGAACAAGGTCAAGTAGGTCTACCTGTCATTTTCACTCCATAGGTTTGTTTTCCTTAATAAAATTAATACTTACTATTGATATAGCTATTTAAAAATAGACAAGAAATTCATTTGCATAGACATTCACCTTCAAGATATTTCTAAAATAAAAAGCTCACTTAGAATCAGCCAAGAGAGATGGTCGGGAGACATTCCACTTGTAAGAAGCAAAAAGGAGAATGTCTGCACAAGAAGAATTCATCTTGTAAGACTTTCGGGGATGAATTGTCTCCTTCTGAACTGTCTCAATCTCCAAGGCATCAAGCTCTTGATCAAAAACCTGACAAAGATCCATGACAACTGATTCGTGGATCTTCTGCCACAAATGCGCTCGGAAGATCTGAATCAAAGAGATCTTGAGGGTTGGGATCTTTCCATGCATGAAGATTCCTGTCAAGTCCAGTTGAACCTGCAAAGCAAAATTTAACTTTTCACTCATACCTTCCATTTCAAAAAGTAGCCAAGAATCCTCAGCATGTAGGAAATATAAAGTTGTGCGTAACTCAGTGTACAGACAACTCATAAGTGAGTGCCTGGAATTGAAAGTTACACTTATCTCCCACAATTAGAACGCCACTCGTACCATAGTCAAAGGTTATGAATGGAGCTGGATGTGGTGTATAAGACTTGGGAGTTCCTCTGCTCACCTGAAAACCAACATAAACATTGGCCCGGTTGATGGTGGGTGACCACCAAAGGGTGAATCGTCGATTGGGAATCTGATTCAACCCTGATCGCTGTGCATTGGTCAGCTTCTTGTATTTCATGGACTCCTCAAATCCGGATGCCTTCTCCCTGCACAGTTGTAATAAAACATGCCCCATGAAGAAAGCAAGCTTAGTTGTGATAATTACAGACGGGTTGATAGAGAAGGGAAATGGCTGACCAGAAGAGACCCTCCCAAGTAGGGAAATATGTTCCCTTGAACAGCGTGTGCTCCAAAATCCCCTCCACTCCTCCAAGTGCCTGAATCATGTCTGTTCGATAATTGTTTAGGTTCCACAGCTTTCCATCATGACGCTGGTGTGTCCACCAGAAAGGATTTTGCTTCAACACCTGATGGGATGACCATGCCCAAAGCATTATGAATTTCTTCCTTACTCATGAATACTTTGATGCAAAATTAAACAGATTTCCATTCCTCACCTGGTAGGCCTTAAACTCCGTTCGGACTCTCCAGCCCTTGTCGTATGCAAGGGTGTGCCGATCCTTCTGGAACAAAGTGTTGATGCGAGGGATACCCCTGTCCCAGCTATCCTCCAAGTCCTCCAAGGTCAATCGCCTACCATACAAAGGAAGCTAAATGGTCAAATCAGTTTCTCTCCCAATTAACATGATCTTGGTCATAAATAATGATCTGACCTGTTCTGGGCATTGGCTTCTTGTCTCTTCAAAGCATATTCAGCCCAGACTCTCTGAGAGTCTATGAACTCTGATTCCCAGGGCTGGATGTAACGATAGAGATTGGGAATGACCTGATCCTCATCATGACTCATACCTGAGCGGAAGTGAGTGATGCCCACATCTGTCTGTTTTGACCATCTCAAGTCAGACTGAAATCACAAAAATGTGCATTCAAAGACACTACAGTAATTCACTTGAAAGCACGAGTAAATCAGGGATAGACATGCAGACCTGTGGGATGAGGACATGTCCCATGGAGAGCATTCCCAAGCCTCCCAATTCCTTGGGGGTGTAGAACACAACAGGGGGGAAACGACTAGGCATCTTGGAGTTGAGTCCAATCTTGATTCGGGTCTGGATTTTGTTCTCACATTTCACCAGGAGATCCAATAGCTCCTGTGTGTTGACAACAGCTTCTCGGAAGTATGTCATCAAGCCAATGAGAGCTGTATTCCATTTGTTCACAATCTGCAAGAGTCATGGAATCCCTATATAACTCCTGGCCTTCCATTAGCACACAAAAACAGCATCTAAGGAACAGTTTCATATTCTTATAGATGTGCAATGAGCATAAGGACAGCCACCAAGAAGCCAAAGTTGCTGCCATAATCAAGCTTGTACTATATCTTTAAGAAAAATGTCAAGAAACAAAGGATCAAACCTTTGTGAAGGTGGTAGAGCCTGATGCCATGAGGATCTGCCTAACACGATTGTGGAAACGCTGCAAGGATTCATCATCTACTCGCAGAAAACACTGGGCAGTTCTTTCTTTGGTCACCTCATTCTGTAGGTTCCAAACTCCATCTCGATGTGTGAACTCCTCGTGAGTTGTCCGACACTAAACAATGAGGGCAAGGTGTAACGGAGATATTTCATTACCCTTAAAGTTAATGAGGGTGCATTTCAAGTGAAATTTACCTTAGGCAGGATGCGGCACTCAAAGCCACTCATGTTGAAAAGCAGATTGGGATTGTCTTTGGAGTACACAGAGACAAAACTGTTTTCCCATTCAACTGTTGTCACTGAACGTGGCAAACGATTCTTGATGTCCCAGAACACTGCTCGACCCCTGAGACACAAGATTCAGTTTGTATTCTCATTTTCACCCTCAAGAGGCCACCAAAGATAGTAGCTAACATTGTCAATATAAATTGGGATAGGTTTGTGTAGGGCACTCACAAGTTCACATCATGCTTCATGAGTCGCATGCGTGCATCTCGAGGCCAGCACTTCTTGTTGTTGTAGCCAACAATGTTCTCATTGTTGGGATCAGGATGTTCTGTGAGATAGCGCTGAATCAGATCCCGTGCCTCCTCTGCTGAGAATCTGCATCAGAATTCAGTGGAAGGGGATTAATAAAGCAATGAATGCAAGGGCTACATAGTATAATACTACACTTCCGCTCATTTCGACTGTCTCTAGGTATCAGGTAAATTTGTAAGGTAGGCATCCTTCTCTGGAAGTCCAATGAAGTTACTGGAATCCAGGATGACTCAGCCTTCCTACACTTAATCTCAGCAGCACAATTTGCTCCAAGAAGGTGACTATTATCCATTATTGGAGAATGGGGAGCTGCTGAAAGGATCTCAACTAACAGGATTCAGAAAGCATTTCTAACCTGAAGAATATGTGGATTCGGTCAATGTAACGACAGTATAGTCGGATGGGATGAGCACTTTCTGTGGCTACATCTTGGAATGTGAGGAAGTCATTGGGCATTTGGGGAGGTCCAGCCATCTCAGATGCTCTTTGTAGGCCAAGCATCAATAAATCAATCACAAGGCCATAATACTGGACGATGAAGGAGGCGAACTGGAGACCTCGAATGATTCCATAGCTGTTGGTATGGTTCATGTCCTGTCAGAGAAGAGGAGGCACATTTTGGGATGCCCTGATTCATGTTTAACCTAAGACAACTTCCTCTACCATTGGCATTGGTTGAGTGCTACTACATGCAGCCAGGATGAGCAAATTTAAGATCACTGAGTACAAAGTCTTGACTGTCACCTTGTAATTGATGACAATGTTGTTCTTGGCAGTCATGTAATCTGCAATGTTATGATCCACAATGAGACGAAGGAGCCGGTTGAGAAGAGTTAGATCAATCTTCTCATATAGCTTTTCCAGATGAGACTCAAGCAGGACATTGCACTCTCCTTCTCCAGTTTCCCATACATCTTGTAGGTTGTTGATTCCTATTAATATATAGCACATTTCCTCTTGGTCAGAGGTCTCACTTTCCTCCAGAAAATTATGCACTTAAATTGGATAGACATGACATACCCTGACACCACTTGTAGACGAGAAGAGGCGGTGGCTCAGTGTCTGATGGCTGGATCCAAGGGGGAAAGAGCCGCCGCTTGTCAGCCTCATACCACAAATACTGGTCAAGATAGGCATCTGTGATCTTCTCCAGGGGTTCTACATCATACACCGGGATGAGATGACTGTAGAGATCCATGAACTCTATTCCAACTTCCTTGAATGCCCTCTGTGTAAGCAGGTGACGTTTGATTCGAGACAGAGCTTCATGAGGGTTGTCATATGCCTGCTCGATCAATCCCAGCTCCTCTCTTTGACTCTGATTCAAGCGGGATTTCACACTAGAGGCAGAGAGAAAGTTGAATGGAATTTTAGGTTTTTTTTTCTACTTGGACTGAAATTAGTGGCTACCATCACCAAAAATTGCTTGAGTCTACCTGTATGCCTCCTTGAGCCTTTCCAGAGCTAAGATGAGAAGTTTGGTGTCATGCTTGTAGGAGAGGGGAGGGAATGGGATGGGAGCAAATCGCCGAGACTCCAACCAATGCACAGTTGTGGTGTAGATGGCCACTGCCTCCTCTGGACTGATGTAGGGCCCATCCTAAATTAAATTAATATTGTTAGCAAATATGATGTAACACAACCCAGACAGAAGTGTTTCACTTTCTAAATACCTTGAGGTAATTGTGTTGCCGCTCCTGCTCTGCCTTGAGATACAGGCGAGTGAGGCGGCCTAAGTTCTTCTTGCAAACAGTCTTGTCCACAGTGGCTCCACGGCGGATGCGCTCCCGGTTGTAGTGAGCTGTGTTTGTCCACCAATCAGCCTTCATCTTCACATAGCGAAGGATCATGTTCTCGATTGGAGTTGGCAATCCAGGTACCTATCATACATGACACACAGTTTTGAAATCCTCCTGGTACTCCATCACACCATGATAATTTTGATTTTGATGATCACCTTCCATGGAATGTTGGCCTTCCAACATCTCCATGCCTCACTCAGGTGTTGCAAGATGGTTCTGGCCTTGTTCTGTTTCATTCCTTCTGGCATCATATCCAGGATGTCATGCATCACCTACCCATGACACAAAAGAGAATAATAAGTATCGGTGCAAACAAACTTCAAAAGCTTAAAACCATAAACCTTAAAGAGGAAGGCTCACAGAAGCTCTGAGTTCCAAGTCAAAGTGTGACTCCACTCTCTGCTTGGTCACAGTCTTGGCAACTCCTTTTGAGTGACGGCCTTCAAACTGTCTGCTAAGAAGATTGCCAAGCCATCTCTCCAACAATGGTGTTACACCTCGGAGGAAGAAGAGCCACACGCGCCAGCCAGGAGCCCAGAATCCACATCCTGGTCCTTTCCCAACTGGACCCTGGTGAGATAACCCAGAAATATGAAGCTCTAGAATGCATACCAAGGAAAGCAAAGCATTTGACAGAAGGGCTGTCTTGAAATCTTTCATGGCTCAGAATCCGGTAAAGCATTTGCCTCTCAGGTGATCAAGTTGGCAGGGGTGAAAATGTCATCACTGCTATGAAAGTGAGCTCAATAACTGGTTCCATGCATAGGCTAAGAACAAGTGAGGAAACTCACAGTGTTGAATCTGTAGTAGGAAACATGCTTGAGATCCTTGCACATGCGGATCTGTTTCATCAGCTTATACTTGTAGCGGTACATCCCAGTCAGCTGACCCACATGGGCAAATACATATTGAAGACCATCTGCCAACTGGAATGCATCCACGTTGTTTAGCCGATACTGAACGTGAGAATCGACAATCAGCTTTGTCAGACGCAAGATCTCTCGACACAAATGGAATGCTGGAAACAAAGTTTAGAGGGAAATCACAACCCTTCCATTTTTGAGAGCAGTTTGTGTTTCTCATAGAAAATGGTGACACAAAACAGAAGGCACCTCCTCAAATACCCCGAGGATTGCATGTACTAGAATTTTGTTAGTTCTTATTCACTACAATAGGCAAAAACTAGACACCTTACTTTGAATTACTTATCAGTTGTCACTTTGTGCTTTGATGCTCATGTGGGACATTTTCCTTTATTAAAAGAATCTCCTCCCTGTTCCTGGGCATTTTCAACTGATGATTCTTTTTCCTGCAGGATCACATCTTACTCTAAACTGCAGCAAATAAAATTTTTGTAATTTGAATGTAATATTTATCTGGCTTTCTAATTATATGCAATTCTCAGTCATACCCAACAGTGACCAATGAGGAGAAAACACCAAATTAAGCTGGCAAGTTTTTATCATAGAAGTAAATATTTCAGAAAGATGTTCGAAAAAAAACCTACCATTCCCAAAGCGGGACTTCTTTCTTTCTTTTGTAGTCAGTGTCTTCACAGGTTTTAAATTGAAGTTGTAGTCCAAGTGAAGATAGTTGAGGTTCTTTCGATGAATGAGGAGGTTTAGCATGTTGTACCCCTGACGACATACCTGGAAAAAGAAATGCACAGTTGACAAACAATGACAGAAGAAAAAAATACTGGGATGGCCAAAACAAACCTGCAATCCAACTTCCACCCAGTCAAGAGTTGTTGACTGAAAAAACTTGGTTGCCTTGAAGGATCGAAACAGGTACCTGCCATGAATAAGAAATGAATTGAGTATTAGGGAGTGACAAAACTTGGGAAGTGTCTAGTTGCAACATGTACATGATTCATGCAAGTGCAAATCCCTTGAAAAAATAAAGGGATCCAGGGAGCATGAACCATCCAACATTAAATCTCCCACAGAGGAAACGCCCTTGCAAGCCATAACTGGAACTTACATGGAGCTGCACTGTGGGATCTCATTGTTCTTATCCTTTATATGACTACATAACTCAAGTTGAATGGAAAATGGAACCTACCTCTTCTTCTGTGGTTTGGGAGGTCGATGCTTAAGGGCATTGAGTACAAAGTACTTGAGAAGTTTCTGGTAAGACACGCGCACTTTGACTGGCATGCCAGCAGGACAATGTTCTCGGTACCAGGCTTTCACCAGAGGGATATCCATGGCTCGTCTTGTTCGGTCTGAACGGAGACTGAACGGCCTACAGAATGTGGATAGAGTAAAAGATGAAGTGCATCAACCAGGCAGTGATTAAGATACCAGAACTGAAGCCTCTACCTTTGTGCCCAAAGAAGAGCAATACCATTGGCTGTATTGTCTGTGTACAATGGGAACTCTTGCATGAAGGGCTGACAGACATCTGGGAGCTCAAAATCTTCAATATCATCTGGTAATGGTTCTGGCACCTTAAAGGAAAACAACTTTTCCTTTAAATTCCACCATATCTCAATCAAAGAAAACTTTCAGAATAACTGCTGCTATCTTCTTCAGATTCAGAGTATTATTCAGGGAAAGATTCGCAACAAGTTCATGAAAGGGAATGCTCAGATAGCGCATTTATCCAGCAGCCAGCAATCACAACCAGTTGGCATGATCAAGCTGGAATGCTGCCAGTCCACATATTGACATGGTCTCTGTACCCCTGCGCAAATCATCCTTGCCACTCAAGTTGCACAATAACATATCACCTACTGAAGCATAGGTACCCACACACAGAAAAACATCTCACCTTGGCTGTGTGCCTGTGTGCAATTGGGTTGATGAGAGGGTCAAAGTAAAATGCAGGCAAGTCTGGATCCTCTGTTTTGATAAACACAACATTTGGAGAGTGGTACCTGCAAGAATAAAAAACTACTCCATTTATCATGAATACAATAAAAGCAGTACTTCTGCAACATGAAAAATAGCAACATTTTTCTGTGACAAAGAGTAACAGCTCATCCAGTCCCAGAAAGGATCACTTTCAATCTTCTATGAAGACAAGCAAGGGTCTCATTTGTCATACTTGGGCCTTCTCCCTTCTGCTTCCCCCCCAAAAAAAAAGGTTGAGACAACAAAAGGCAGGTGTGGGTTTTACAGCTTTTGTCATAAGAAGAAATGGCACTCCATGAGCCCTACACTGCCTGGTCTTTTCTGGGCCTGGATGAACTACACCATAACTATTTCAAATGTGAAAAGTGTGACTACTGAATGACAGGATGAAGAATGAATGCTTCTAGGTGAAACTTGCTGAATCTCAGTGAATATGGAAATTGAGGTCACTGATAACATGACACATTCATTACAAATAAAACACTGTTGTTTGAAGTCCAATTAGTACACCTCAGAAAGCTATGGAACAAACTTCAAACACTGAACATACCATGGGCTATCATTAGCAGCATAAAAATCACTCGTGTAATAAGTAAGAGCCAGATAGCACCAAATTCCATTATTTCTTAAAGGCTCATAATTGTGGAGGGCTGTAGCGATGGAGTAACCAGCACTTCAGGTTTCCATCTATACGCGACCTTCCAGCAAGAACCTTTCCTTCTTAGAAGCAGTCCTTGCAATCCATCTGGCATAAGTGCTTCACTGGCAACCTCAGCAAAATGAGGTTGACTTATCTCTGCACTCATGCATAATAAAACAAGACAAAGTCAACTTGAGATACAAAATAAGGCACTCACCAGGATAGATGGACAAACTGGGGCATGTTGTTGTAGAGGTATGGAAAAGCAATACGATATTCTGTCCTAATAGGCTGCCTGATAATGATCTTGTTGATGTCATTGAATTCATTCCAGTCTTCATCCCTACAAATCAAGAACATGCAGTCAGCAACAGGAAATGATTAACTTTTACATGTGACTAGATATTTAACTTGGAAGAGGCTGCATTTACAAAAATGTGTGCCTCATTCAGAACTTGAAAAAGCAAAGCTGCAAAGTACACCAAAGATTTGGAAATCAACAGAAAATTCAACCAAAAGCTTAGAATGAATTTGATCAAGTCACCAGAATAAATTAGATATAATGCTTTTCAAAGCAATGAAATTTTTTATTTCTTTATGTTTACAGGGATTTATCATGTGTTGTAGGGGCCAAAGGGTTTTTGAGCATGTTGCAAAAAAGACATGAACTATAGCAGTAAAATGCATAAATACGGCAGTGACCCCCAAACAATAGTTCCCTAGTGCAGCTTTTACTCAAAATTAGTTCATACTCACCCTGCATTGCCATCCTTGATAAGTGGCTCAAACTTTGGACCTCCTGGGATAGCCATATTCAGGGCTTTTGCTGTGAAGAAGGATTTCAGATCAAACAAATAGAAATAGTTCTCATCCACCAAGTCAGTAAGGAGCTGGTTTGCCAGTCTGTACAATGTTGCCATCTGTGGAAGAGCCAGCTGCCAGCGCCGGTAGGTTGTCCCATTGACATATCTGAAATCATATGGAGCACCTCAAAACAAGAGCACAAGGAATCACATCATCAGATCATATACTTTGAAACAGGCCCCAACACTTCACACTCTGATTAAATGCTGATATATATATAACTACCAAGATGGGAACAGGATGTCAAAAGACTATCAAGAAACAAATTCAGGACACTAACTTTGATTCAATCAATGGCTTGTGTTCATAAAGCCAGTCATGAACACTTCTATCCTCTTCAGAATCCAATTCCATCTGAATGGCTTCAAGAGGTTCCACATCCAAGACGTTGTCAGCATAATCCAATGGTGGCTCTTCATCATCAAAGGGTGGAAACCTCATCCTTTTGAAATGACGACGATCTCGCTTCTCTCGCCTCATCATAATCCACATTGTCCTGCAATGGTTGTCAAAGTAACATCAGCTCAAGGCATTGTGAGTATAAATGTATTGCTTTAATTTTAAGTTCAACAAAAGCACTGATCAAAATGTGATGATTACCCACCCCCACTGGGCAATATATATGGGCTCAACAACCCAAGGGATCTCATTGACGAAAGAAATTGCACCAGTGATGTGGTACAAGACTTTCACATCTCGAATCTGCTCCCAGGGCATTGGCATATTCTCTAGAAGTTTCAGCACAGCATGAGGCATATACTTGAGAGCTCTGCAAAGAACCAAGATGTGAAAAGCATTTCAGATCACCACCATTGATGAAAATAGCAAGGAGAATTTAGGCTCTTCTTTTAATCATAAGCCAAAAAAAGAATAACAGAAACCAAACAACTGAAACTGTGAAAAAGCAAAAAGCAGGAATAGCATACCCAAGGTATACACGCTTGTCGTGTCTGTACTTGCGGCTGCTCATGTCACCATGATCTCTAATAATCTTCCTAAGATGCTCAGGTGGCATATCCTCCTTCTGGGCATCTACAAATCCAAACTTTCTCTTCTCTGCATACCTTTTTGTCTGCAGCTGCTGCCATTTACGAGCTGTGGACGAGGAATAGAATCAAAGGTTTAATGAACTATGAAGATCATGCTCATCTCATTCAATCATGAAATGCAAGGAATAGTTTCACCTTTCTCTTGTAGCTTTTCTTCAGTCATCAGCTCCATCTGCTGCTTCTGAATTTGTGCTTGCTGTTGCAACTGCTGTTGCTGTGCCTGAGCAAATGCCTGGGCCTGTGCTTGAGCCTGAGCTTGGGCTTGGGCTTGCGCTTGGGCCTGAACATGTACTGCCTGCGCTTGGGCAGCCATGGCCATTTGTGCCGCAGCAGCTTGCTGCTGGGCAACTAAATATGGATGCCACATCCTTCAATACTCTCAGAGGCACCAAGAGAAAAGTTCAAGGGGACTGAAACAAGGTTCCATTCTTCTCCTCTATTAATGAACCTGTATAACATAAACACTGTTCATATCAAGGTCAATGAATATGCAAAATATTCTGTTACAGTTTTAACCAACAGTCAGATAATAGGCTGTCTATATGACATGCCCACATTAGGAAGAATCCTATCACTTTGGTTCATGAATTACAGCATTCCACCTTGTTGACTATCTTAGTCCTTTAAGGATTCTAAGGCCCTTGTATTACTAAAATATGAGGAATGTAATTGTGGATAAGAAACTTAGACCTATGGAATGTCACAGGTTTCATATTATGCCCAGCAAAAGTTACAGAATAATCAAGCAAAACAAAAAGTTACACAAAGATGGAACTGAATGTGGTGAAACAATTTTAACACAAGGGAGTTTGGACATCAAGCAGATGTTTCATTGTCCAGGGGCACCTGTGGGAGAATTACAAATGGGAAGATGACTTAACAAGGGGCCAATTCATTTCACTTTGCCACCCAACTAGAGTAAGAAAACAAATCCCTCACATGAGGTCAACTCTATAGTTCCAAATATGCTGAGAATAATTGACAGAATTGGCTACTGGCCCTAAAGTGCAAGCATACTATAAAGCATGTATTAATAGCTACACTTTGGGTTACCATGTCACATGATATTTCTGTCATTTAACTGAATAGCTACAGCCATGTGAGTGGATCACAAGCTTGCCAATTGCTGAGCGAAGACCAAGTTGGCCACTGTCCCTTATCAAATTTATTCCATGATTTCATTTAAAAATAAGCCCACAAACAGAGATGCAAAAGAAGTTACTTAGGGTAACTAAAGAACATAATTCAGTTGGAAATTAAATTATTTATAAAAATGGGTAGAATTCCATTTAGGAAAAAAAAGGAAAGTTGTTCAATGGGCCTGTTGGCCAAGTGTGGTTAGTTAACCATCCACATGGAAAGTAGTCCCACTGGCTATCTATGTTATCGTTGCAGAGTGGCCTGAGCACAAGTAGCAGCTCTAGCCTTATCCTAATCTTGGCTGATGTGAAAGTTTAAAGTGGAACTTGTGTGAAATCAGACCCCATGCCTCAGTTCATTTTCAGACTAATGGTAATTAGTAAGTATGGAATTCCATCAACTTCTAGGTTTCACATAGGGAACAATCACGTTAAAGGTCATGAACCTATGCTGAGGATGGTTGACTGCAGGGCATAATGTAAGAAAAAATCAGAACTGCACAAAATATTATAACCCCTCTATAGGAGTGGTTGGTATGATGCTAAGCTCCCCCTGCATGCAGCACAAAACATTGGGAACAATTTGATTTAGCACCATTTTTAAGTCAAATTTTTGTATAAAAATGTAATTTTTGCCCAGTTTTGAACTGCACATAAAAATATGCCCCTGTAGACTAAATGCACTGGATGGGTATGGTTTATTTTGTCACCACCCTTGTTTCCCCTATCAAGACCACCCCTCCCTTTGTGTACTTCATCAATTTAAAGAATCAGAAGCTTGATACGATGACATGTGCGTTCTACTCTCATTCCCACAGTAGTCATCAAATGCTGAGATGCCACCACTTTTCTCCCCCTTTCCATACTTTGGTCTGCTCTTCACCACCACTCATGGTCACCACCTATTGAGAATATCCTTCTCTTCACATATTTTATCAATATATGGAATCCGGGGCTATGTGGCTCTTTATAAGATGCCACAGGCAATGGAGTTGTGAAATGTCACCAATGCTGCTGCATCAAGAACCACATAGTCCCAGATCCCTTATAGTGATTAAATAGGTGAAGAAAAGGATATTCTCAATAGGTTGTGACAGCAGACCAAAGGATGGTAAGGGGGAGGGAGGTGGTGACATCTTGGCATTTGAAAACTCTCATAGGAACTAAAGTAGATCGCATAAGGTCCATATCAGGCTCCAGATCCTTAAAAATTGATTAAGCACATGAAGGGAGGAGTGGTCTCAAGAAGTATTACAAGGGGGGTGACAAAACAAACCACACTCCACTTGGTGACTCTCGGCAGAACAGGCCTGAGATCAAAGCCAGAAGGACTCAGTTTAGATCAAGGACAATGTCAATTTGTGATGCATAACACTTTTTAGCTTCTGATTAGAAGCATCTGAAATTGATAAAGCATTCAATAAATTTATAATTTATAATTGGAGGCATCAACCCTGTGTATTCAGTCCAATTACTCATATACACTCTGGACCATGCAATGCATTGAGTTCTCAGGAGTGGATAACGTCGTGTTTGTACTTTAGACTAACACGTATTTCCGTGCTCCTGGTAAAAAATGTCCTAGGCCTCTCACGCTTCAATTTAGAGTCACGTACTCTTACCGTTCAGGTTAGAATCTTAATCAAGCTCGAACCCACGCCTTGATGAATCCGTTAAACTGGAACCACGACACAACGGCCTCCACTGCATCACAAGAAAAACATGCCCCGGATGCTCACGATCTAATAACACCCAATTTGGTCTTTTGATGAATATGAACTGACCTCTTATCCCGTAAGAATGACTCGATTGAAGCTTTCATTTAGATGCAAATAGAAAAAAATGCGCCACTTTAAATTAGAACTTCTAAGTTCGGAACTTAACGTTAGGCATAACCGACCACCACCAGCCTATCCATGTTAAAACATGATGGGCAGGTTAAGCTCTAGTACAAGGGTACCTATATCAAGGATGTGCTGTTCACAGAGTGTTTGTAGCCCCAAGAACATTTACCTCCAAACTGAAGAAGAGCACACTCGTCCTCCGTTCCATTCCGGCCGACAGACGCAAGGGAAACGCAGTTGTCGAGCATATTCGATGTGGGCTGCGCCGGTCCACTTGGGTTTCGCTCGAATATGATCCATGCTCCGATTCGATATCTGGAAGTTCGGCTGCCACGAATTCATGATAAACGTTGTTTCCATATTTTTTTCTGCTCCGTGACTTTTGGCACATTACATTTTCAGTGTAATTTCTTAATTATTGTCATTTCACTCTCGCCACGCCCCTGTCTGACATCCAACCATATTGCAAGCCATGAGAGCATTGTTTGTATTTGCATATCTTTGTTTCTCGATAACGCCAAACCCTCGTCCTGCAAGTTAGAAGTACAGTATAGACAGCAGATAGGAAGGGAATTTATGGGAAAATGGTTTCCTCAACGCTGAGGAAACACAATGACAGGGAGTGGAAATTGAGAAATCCAATTCCTTCTAGCAATATAAACTAAGGGTCACGTAGGCAGTACACTTCCCAGAGAAAAGAGCTGAGAACATCGCAAGACGGTTATTGGTTAGATCCCTAAACCGTGGATTGAGGGGCATTTAATCCGAGCTACTAGGCAGATTAAACATACTAACGCTTTCTCTCACTAGCTCCCAGGGCTGTGATCAAAGAGTAGAGAGTGAAACTTGAGGCGACACTCCCAGGGGAGGGAGAGGGTCGAAATATTACAGAGACATCTGGTGGCTTGTTATCAACAACACTTCCGTCGGGCGTGCTTCGTGGCAGCAGAATCGGGAATCGACTCATTCGGGGACTCGACTCAAAGGGAGTCCTCAACGTAACACGCGTGTTTCGTTGAGTCCGCTGCTTGGTAATGGAGAAGTTGCTGTGCGCTCGCTAGGTGGAGGATCGACAGCGACATCTATATTGCGACCCTGTCTTTGAATAGGATTCGAGCGGAGCGTCGTCTCTAGTTACACTCTCTATGGCTGATTGCCCGTGTGGCGCCCCAGGGCAAGATGTCGTGAACGCCCTCCCCCCTTGGCTTTTTCCCTCAGTTCTTCCATCCATTTAACTGGTATCTGCGTATACATGTCTGAGTTTGCACCAGTGGCGTAGCCAGAGTTTCGCCAATGGGGTGCTTACTTCTCATCTCCCGGTGGGAGGAGGTGGGGGGGGCTGAAGCAGCGGCGGATACAGAAAATTTTCATAGGGGGGCGGTTCCCTACTTCCTACCGATCCCCCAACCTTTCACCACTCCCAGCTCCATCGCCTTTTTCATTTCTCGTTTGGAGTAAAAACATGAATATCTATTTCACTGGCCTCAATAAAAATTAATGTTGAAGCTATTTCTAAAAAATATGGAAACAACGTTTATCATGAATTCGTGGCAGCCGAACTTCCAGATATCGAATCGGAGCATGGATCATATTCGAGCGAAACTGGGGGTGTGGGGGGGGGGGGGGGGGGGGGGGGGGGCGGGGGCGGTCGCCCCTCCCGCCCCAGTCCTGTATCCGCCCCTGGGCTGGAGACCCCCCTTCCTCTTGCTACGCCACTGGTTTGCACCCCCTTCACTTGAAGTGAATACGAATGGCTAAACCCAGTCAGCATCTTTCGATTCAAGTACAGAAGATTCGTGAGTTGAAGAGTATTCATTGGATCTCCTTCAATAAGGACGGCACTGCTTTCCTTGCATTTCGAGATGGGAAGACGTGAATGATGCGGTCAAAATCCACTTCTTTTTAGATGTACTTTCAATGGAGAGCCTTTCTTGGCCCATCGTGGATCGGATATTGTCTCGATGAGCTTAAGTTTGCCGACGCTTCTCCCTCATGAATCAGTCGATGAGGCAAGGGTAAGAAAGGTCATCGAAAACTTGTCCATTCGTATCGAAAGTCGAAACTTCATTCCTTCTTTTTACGGCTATCTTCTCAGTCCATCGCAAATTTTCCTTGTCATTTTTCTCTTCTTTATTCGATTTTCGTTTGCTTCTAGTTACGTTAGTGTAGGACGGCGGCATCGCCTGGAAACGAAGCCACTAAATCAGACCATCCTGTCGATCCTGTCTTCCGCTCGTATTAGGTGTTACGATTAGCGAATCCGTAGTCGTTACTCTCGAGAGGGCAACAGCCGGCCTAATGCTCTTTCGCGCCAATATCGAACTCTGCTTTCCCCCCTTCTCCACAGTTAACCCTTGCGACTTACGTATTGTTACTGCCCAGGCTAGAGCAAGGCGGCAGTCCGATTCTCGACATTACTCGTCCATCTTCGTATGAACTAGGTGCGAGCGGCATCCTCTTCCATTCGCATTCTCTTCCAATTTTGGGATTTTGCTAGACGCAAAATTGCTTCTACTTCATGGCTTTCCAAGCTAACTCTCTTTTTTTTTTGCCCCTCCCTGCTGGGCAGGAAGCAGGGTGCGCCCTGGGTGCATGCTGCGACCCGAAACTACCTTGATGAGAATAATAATTGTGCATTGAATGTAAGTTACATGCTTAAACTTGGACATATCAGCAATTAAAAAAAAGTCCAGAATTTTTCTCAATTATTTAGGACACATACATTACACGATTATGAGTTGTGGGTCAAAACGACCCCCCCCCCCCCCGGTCGTTTTGGCCATTCCCCACCTGGCCAAGTAAGGTTTAATGGGAAGGACGCCTGGGTCCTCTTCATGTCGTCAAGGTAGAAGCAACTGATTTTTAAGCGGAGTCCCTCTGTCACTCGTGTCACAGCCCCGCAAGGGGACGGAGGGAAGCGATATAACCTTATCAGTGCAGCGAAGCGGATTTATGCTGAAAGTAGATAACGGATGCCCCGAGAGATGAAGTAACATGCTTGAAACGGCTCGAGTTCGTAGCCGAAGTGCCTTTGTGCTTTTCCACTTCCATCTTCTTTTCCGGAGTCGTGAGGAATTCCTTTCATTCGAGTCGGCCGTTTACGAATGTCTCGGTGTCTGAACCGGTATTCTAGAAAACACAAAAATTGCCTTCACCCCTTTCCTCAGTTGCCATCGCGAATCGTTCATCGAGTTGCAATTGCTGGAAGCGTAGGGAACGAATATGGATGGGGAAAAGGTATTTGCAGGCAGTCACATGCTAAACAAATGAAGGCAAATAATCATAAGTATTGACTTGATGCATTTTCTCAATTTTCGCTTACATTCCGCTTTGGAAGCTCGGGTCCTTCAAACATCATAAGTAATCGCATATTTTTCTTATGTTGTGACATAAAACGATTAGAAATGGTTAGATTGGGTACACATCGATTGACTGGGATACTAAGCATGCCTTGTCTTTTATTTCACGACTGCCCACATAACAATAACAGTGTCCGAGCAAAAGCCCCGCCGCACACGAAGCAGCGTTCCTTTGAGGCAACAAAGTCGATGAAAGATCAAGAAAGAGATTCTCGGTCGAGGAATGTTTTCTGGACGAGTGATCCGTCCCCCTCTGTTAGCTTTTGGCAGTCGATCGTCTCATAGCAAAGGGGGAAGGTATGGTCTCTCTCGACAACCTTCGTGTGCGGTCGGCTTTAGGGTACTTCGATAAGCGCTATCTTGGCTTGAGTTTGTTTTCATCCCTTCGCGACTCCCTTGTCTGGAAGCGTTGCCTCCGAAAGGACGATTTCACTTCCACTACATCCTTCAGCGAGATTCTTTTTTCCTTCGATGGAGGACTCCATGAGGGAAGAAGAAGAAGAAGTATTTATTTGGAGGCTTCATGTATACAGCCATAGTCAGTCAAATTTATCTATCTATGAGGGCTTCTCTTCGCTCCAGCGCCTTTCTTGTATATTCTGCTAGCTTCCTCCATGTCAGTGCCGATTCATACACGTCTCGTAACGTGTCGACAGGGAGATACTCTGCTTGGATTTTCCTCTCCTGGAGTTCTGGCATGTAGTTATGCCGCAGATCTTCATATGCTTGGCACTGGAGCAGCAGATGTAATTCATCCTCTTCTTGCCGACAGAAGGGACAGATATAATT